TGTGAGACTCAACGATCTGCAGGTGTTGAGAGCAGATCGCGGGCCCAAGGATTTTAGGGCCCACCCACTAAACGACTCCCCTGCACTCTTACACCCGACGTCCGATCTCCGTCCGGGGTCAGAACCCGTTCAGAGTAGGGGGGTTCCCGCGGTCAACACTACAACCAGACACGCGGCGCCACCCCGAGGACGCCCGACCCACGGGTCGTCGAGGCGATAGTCGACGACCAACGACGTCAGTCTCCGCGGTACGGCGGCCCTACCAGGCCGCCCGGGCGGTGCCGCTGGTGTTCCGGGATACCCCGCTGGGCCAGAACCAGCCTGCCGGGTCGGAACGCGATACACCGCCGACCGGGGTTTTGCAGTCATCCTCCCCTAACTAAATGCAAGTGACTTCTACTTATTGTGATGCTACTACTAGTAGCTCCAGCCACAGTAGGTCTCATGTTAGTCAAGACATTGGGTTGTTAGGTAAGTGTTTATTCAGGGCAAAGTACCTATTCAGTGAACAACCATATTAGGGACATTGATTTGTGCATAATGCTGTTACTTGTTAATAAAAACCTTTTCTTGTATGTATTCTAAACATTGTATTTTAACTAACCTTGTTTTTAAATAAATTTATTTTTTTTCAGCACCTCAACACCTGACCTGCTATTTCACCACTTTTCAATGAAAAGCAGAGTGTACTCAAATTACAACAAATTACACAGTACCAGGATATATAACTTAAACAACCATGGGGAAATAAATAGTCGACAGTCTGCAAGAAGGATGAACTGTTGGTGGAATTAGCATATGCAGCTAGGAATTTTAAACCTGTATTTCCACATATTACTGATGCAAACAAATTTCAAAATTATTGTATATAACTATTGAATAAAACTATAATAAAACTATTTTTATAAATCATTAATTTATATTTGAAGTTACTTCACACTATAAGTGAGTCGACTATTATCAAAGCCGGCAATGTGACTTTTGGACAATTATTGGTAAATCAGAAAAACGAATTATTGACGTTGTATTCCATTGGCAGTCACAAAACTCTTCTAAACGATATCTTAGATATTAAGGTTAAGTATTAACCTTTATTTAATGCAGGTTTTGATCCGTATTCTTTGAAGGAGACGATTATATTCAAATCAATCTGTATTGACATATCAATAACATTTTTTTGTCCAAATGCACAGATTGCCACCTTTGATAATAGACGACTCAAGTAAGCTAATTAGTAGAATTTAACAAAGTAATTCAACATGACCACCATAATTTAAATGTGATCTCATAATTTGAGATTATGGGAACTGGCAGCTCTGCACAATTGCAAATGTTGTGCAAAACACAACACGCAACAGCTATTTTTGCTACCTTATCAGGGTGATAAATTGGCACCCTATGGATCAGCAAACACCTGAATCTACTCTTTAACAGAACTATTGTTCTTTTCACTGAGTTACGGGCAGTGGAATGAAGGTGGTGCTACAAAGCT